CCCTAACCCCTAACCCTAACCCCTAACCCTAACCCCTAACCCTAACCGCCCCCGCCCGCACAGCCGCGCTCGGGGCGGCCCCGGGCCGCAGCTGGCAAATGTTTGTGCCCGCAGCCGCTCCCCTCGGGCAGGGCCCGGCCACAGCGGCTCCCGGGCCCCGGCAGGGCCTCGCCGCGGGCGGCCGGGGCTGCGGGGCCCAACCGAGGGCCGGGGCTGTGCCACTGCCCACCCCACGCGGGCGGCTCTCACCAGACGCGGGTGACCTCGGGGGCGCAGGCCGGCAGCTCCAGCAGCATCCTCCCAGTGACTCCGCTCTCTGCGGGGGAAGAGAACCGTCAGCGCCCCGGCCCCGGCCCCCGCCCCGGCCCCCGCCCCGGCGGGCCGTACCTCGGAAGCGGCGCAGCAGGCCGGGGTTGCCCACGCCGCAGCGGGCGAGGTGCTGGCAGAGCCGCTCGGTGTCCCAGAGCCGGGGGTCCCCGTGGTCGCTGTCCCACGGCCGGGGGTTCCCGTGGTCGGTGTCCCGGAGGTCCCCGCGGTCGCTGTCCCACGGCCGGGGGTTCCCGTGGTCGGTGTCCCGGAGGTCCCCGCGGTCGCTGTCCCACGGCCGGGGGTTCCCGTGGTCGGTGTCCCACGGCCGGGGGTCGGGGGATCCGTCGCTCCGCGCGCGCTTGGCAGGAGCGCCCGCCGGGCTCCCCATCGCACGCCGCCACCGCGCACGCGCCGCGCGGCCCCGGGGGTCCGGCGCGCCGTGACGTCACCGCCCCGCGCTGCCCCTCAGCGCCCCCGGGCGTGGCCGCCTCTGCTTGGGCCGCAGCCTCGGCCTGAAGGGCGGCGGAGTCCGAGCCCCGGCCCGGTCACAAACACCACCCACCGCCGAGCTGCTCCTAAAGGAGCGATGCCACAGCGCTGCTGCCCTCAAACTGCTGCCCAGGAAACCCAAATCCCAGCTTGGCCAGGATCTCCTTCCCAAGACATCAGTGGCCGTAGGAACAGTCGCCCCCCCAGCCGCTCCCAGGCGTGGGGATGGACAGCACGGCCATCGCAGGCAGACGCGGGGGCTGGTTTTCACCAGTCCTGTTCACAGGTAGTGTCCCATGAACACAGCTCTGCTGCCCAAGCCCTCTGAGTGCCACAAAGGCCCCACAGGGGCCCTGAGGATTTGGCTCCCCAGGACAGACCCTACAGACCAGGTAGGATTTTGCCAGGGCTGGCAAAATCTCAACCTACCCTGGCAACCTTCTCAGAAGTGTGCCCACCACATGTGCAGCTGCACCCACTGCCCCCATGGACAGGACACTACACCAGCACAGCTTTGGGGGAGCCCACTTGCCTGCTCACTGCTCCTAGCAACCCCAGGGACTGAGGCTGTGCTCCCTGGAGACACCCTGCTGCTCCACTGCCATCACCAGCACCCTCAGGGACATCCCAGGGACTCAAACCCCTGCACACCTACCAGCTCCCTCTGTGCCTCAGCAGTTCTGTGATGCTCAGCACGTGCTGTGCTCACTGCGATGCTGCAGTGGCTCCCCAGGGCGAAGGTTAACGTGTTGTGTCTCAGCAGGATGCACACACCTGTTGGGTTTACATGGCCAGGCTCAGGGAGTGAGAGGGCACTGGTGGCCCAGAAGCTGCTCCCATGTTGGGCAGAACCAGCTCCAGATGGCTCCAAGATGGACCCACTGTGGCACAGCTGCAGCTGGGAGGGAGGAGAGAGAAGATGTGGGAGCAACAGCCCTGCAGACACCATGGGAAGAAGGAGGGGGAGGAGGTGGTCCAGGCGTCAGAGCAGAGATCCCCTTGCAGCCCATGGTGCAGCCCATGGAGGACCCCATGCCAGAGCCATTGGAAATGCCCCTGAGGAAGCTGCAGCCCATGGAGAGCCCACACAGGAGCAGGCTCCCAGCAGGAACTTCAACCATGGGGGGGATCCCATGCTGGAGCAGAGGCAGAGGGGCAGCAGGGACAAAGCATCATGAACTGACCCCAATCCCCTTCTCCATCCCCCTGCAACACTAGCAGAGAGACAAGGTAGGATAGTCAAGCATGAAGTTGAGCCTAGGCAGAAGGGGTGGGCTGGTAGAAGGTGGTTTTAGTTTTGGGTTTGTGTAGTGGTTTGGATCTTGTTTTCCCCCAGAGGCTAAGAAAAGTGGTAACCCCCAAGGGGTGGAAACCCCTGGAAGTTTTGAAGTTCTGTCCAATGGGCGCTCCTGCAGAAATGTAAACATATCACAGGCAAACAGAAGAGAAGAGTTGTAGTTTGGGTAGTAGTAGAAGTGGCCATGTTGTAGGAGCCACAAGGAGAGGGCAGGAGCCCTCTAGGGGGGGCCTCTGCCCCCCCCCCAGCCCCAATTGGGGACTGCAGAGACTTGGAACAGTGTTAGACTGGACTAAGTGTCTGTAGTTATGCTGGGAGATGTTTTTCTCTCCATCGTGGGCAGGAGTAGCGGCAGACGCAGCGGCCGGAGAAAGCAGCAGCCGGCACTGACCGGAGAAACGGTGGCAGAGAGCCAGAAGAGATAAGACGGAGCAGCAGAGACATGCAACTGAGTAAGGAAGACACCGAGTTGTCCCGGAGAGCCGAGAAGGAGAGTCAGCAGCAGAGTTACAGAGTTCTGAGAGTAAGAACTGATACCAGACCCCCCCAAACTCCTTTGATCCCTCTGAGAAAAAGAGGGAGATGGACTCCTATTTTGGAGAGCAGTTTTAGACATGCAGCACCAGAGAGAGAGAGAGAGAGAAGAGCTGAGAAGCTCAGAGCGTCCTGGGAAGCTGGACCGGGATGGAGAGGAATGCAGAGGGGGTGACCTTGGCTCCCCCCTCGCACTGCTGCCAAGGTGGCAGCCTGAGACAGGGCACAGAGGCCCTGCAAGGAGCTTGAATCTCCTGGAGATACCAGACCGTCATGAAGACCCCCCTGTCTTCGTGATATGACCGTGGTGGAACAACCTTGTCTGGGGTTACGAAGCCCACGGAGGAAGACCCCTTTGCCTGTGTCAAGGGGGCCGAGGGAGGTATTTCCCTCATGAGTGCTGGCAGAAAGCCAGCCACAGCTGCTGCATGCATGAGATGAGGAGACCTGCTGCCTTAGAAGAGACTCCTGCTTTTGAGACTGGAAGAGATCTGTTCTTCTTCCCTCCTGGACTTTTATTTGGAGGGGTGAAGAGATCCGATCCATTGTAAATACTATATGTCATGGTAGAGATAGTTGTGATCGTGTGTATAATGTGTTATAGTATTTATTTGTACAGTCATTGTAATATATTCCCTTTCCCCCATTCTGAGTCTGGCGTGTTTTTTGTCTAGAAAAACCCATCTCACATTGGGTTGAGATGTGGGAGGGGGAATGGAGCTGGGGAATTAGATTTTGGGGTATCTCAAACCATGACAGTTTGTATCTCATTATCCTACTCTATTTTTAATTGGAAATCAATTTAATTTATCTTCACCAGTTCCCATCTTTGGCCCATGATGGTAACTGGTGAGTGATCTTCCTGTCCCATAAGCTGTTTTGTGGTATTTTCTCCTCACCCTGCTTAGGAGGGGGAGGGAAAGTGTGGCAGGGTGGGCACCTGGCAGCCAACCACAACCCAACCCAACCCATGTCTTGGAACTCCTGTGTTCTTGTCACGACTTCCTTCCTCCCACAGTTCACATGTGTAGAGAGGAGAAAATAAACACAACAAAAAAACCCCAAATAACAAAAAGTCCTTTCTAGGTTTTTCTTGAAGTCTCTGTTTATGAGGGGAAGAGCTCACATATTCTATTGTCATGCTTCAGGAATTTGCTTTTGTAAGCAAACATCCTGCTCTCTCACTTCTTGGCTTTTGTTAGGAAAAGCACACTTAATTCTTGCTGTCTGTTTTTCATTTGGCTCAGTCTCTCTCCATCCCCTCTGGGTCTCTCTGAGATTTCCATCAGCACTGTGCCCTCAGCATCTGAAAAGAAACTGGCTGAGTCCCACCCATTCAGAGGAAACTTTCTTCTCAGAAGGAGCCTGAAGAGGCAAGAACAGGCCAGATCCATTAAAGAATGTGACCATACAAAATAGCCTCACACCTTCTCCATGTCCCGTGTCCCACACAAATGACACACAAATGTCACTGGTGCTTGGCCTTTTAACGAATAATTCACACTGGTCTATTGTGGCAGTAAATCTGCATCATATGAGAAACTGTGGTTTAAACATGTTTCAAAATGGCTTTTTGTATTCTCTTTGCAAACACATTTCTTCTTCCCAAGACCCCCCACGCAGGAATGTCCTGAGAAGATACTCTGAGGTGTTCTCATTGGCCCCTTCTAACCCCTTCCTATTGGTTGTTAACCCCTTCCTGCAACCTGTAATCGGTTACCCTGTGAATCCTCCTAAACCTGTAAATGTAACCCCCAACAATAAACTCTCTCTTGCCTCCTCTCCACGCCCAGTGTGCTGTCTCTGTGCCTGCCATGGGGCCACGTGGGTGGGGAGAGGGGAGAGCACCTCTCCCCTCCAGGCTCAGGACCTGAAGAAACCCCTGATGCTGGAGTTTCCCCCCCTATCCACATTAAGCTGTCGGAAATGGTTCCTCAGATGGAAATGGAACTAGAACTGGGCCGCCCCACGCCATGGGGGGAAAGAGATCCAGAGTCTATTCCTCTACCAGTGTTAAAAACTGCCCTGTATAGCTCTACTTAAAGAGCTTTTTGGGGAGGGAAAGATGTTGATGGACGTGCATCCTATCTCCAGGCCCAGTACATCTGGAGTGCTCATCCAAAAAAAAAATTTACAACTTCAAGAGGGAGCTCATTGCATTTGTGGCCTAAAAATAGCAAGGGAAGAATATCCTGAGAGGACAGGACATCCTTCTTAGGTGCAATACAAAAACTGTTGATTTTGTAACACCAGATGGACACGAGGTGCAGCAAGAGGACAGGGATTACCAGTTGCACTCTTGGGTAACAGGAAGAAAAAGAAAAAAAATACTGCACTAGGCAGTGTGTTGTTCTGAGCAGCACAAAGTCCCTTGTGACCAAACAAAGCACATGAAAAAGGGGAAGGGAAGAAAAAGAGTTAATTTTGCACTTGTTTGTGTGCAACTGCCCTGGCCTGAGTGCCCTCCCATCCCCTCCCACCACTGCACACACAGGAAACCCAGTTATCTCTACTCATGCAATGGTGGTGCAGAAACCCAAAGTTATGCCAATAGGTCCCGCTGCAATGGCAAACAAAACCCAAGGCACATGGTCAAAGTCAGGATGAAGAGAAATATTCCTTTGTAGAGGCTCTATTTTTTTCACTTAATGTATTTTTAGTAGCATTTTCCTGGTATTCATAGAATGGTTTGGGCTGGAAGGGACCTTAAACCTCATCTTGTTCCAACCTCCCTGCCATGGGCAGGGACACCTTCCTCTAGCCCAGGTTGCTCCAAGCCCCATCCAGCCTGGCCTTGAACACTCCCAGGGATGGGGCATCCACCACTGGATAGACTCCATGAGGCAGTGCCACAAACTCGCTACCAAGGAACTGGAAAGTTCATGACAAAGCTGTCTGTGATTTGGCACCAGTTTGTTCCACAACCTCATCTGCTTGAGCCCTGTATTTACACATGGACTAACTGAAATTTGTGTGACTGAGCCCTTGCAAAACTGTTTTGCTGTGACAGGGCCCCACAATGGATGACATGTAAGATGAGCTGCAGTAGCTTTACTGCAGCACCTTCT